TATGGGGGGGGGGGAGTGAGGTGGGGGCAAGGGACGGAGCGGTGGGTCTGGCGGACGCGATGCTGGACGTCGTTGGGGACGCGGAAATAGCGGAGGACAGTGGGAACGGCGGGGGGCTGCTGGTGGTTATGCCTCGCGAGGAGCTGGTGGCGAAGGTGGGGAGCAACTAGCTTTCGTCCTGCTCTTTCCCTTTGCTCTCGTGTGCTCCGATTTTGGTTTTATCGTGGACGGTATGCATACAGGCATACATATAAAAAAATATGGATACAAATATATCCTTTGATCGCTCGACCTTTTGGCGTCTTCGAGATTGTAACTGCCCTTCGATCGCTCGACATCTTCTCTTGAGATATTGTCTACCCGTCGATCGCTCCACATTCTTGCCATGTTTTCTAGCCTTTGGTCGCTCGACCCATCCGCTTGAGGCCATGTCTACTGGTACCCTTTGGTCGTTCGACCTCTCTTCGTGAGATCAGATCGACCCATCGTTTTGAGGCTATGTCTGCTTGAACCCTTTGGTCGTTCGACCTCTCTTGTTGAGATCAGGTCGACCCTTTCATAGCTCCACCTCTCTTCTTTTAGGTTTGCATTGTATTTCCTGTCCCGGTCATTCTCTCAATGGAGTAGACCAAGCAACCGTCGTTCTACCTACCCCCCTCACCCCCCCTCCCTCTAACCCTCCACCGCTGCTGTCCCGCACACACAAAACGAAAAATAGGTCCTATGCGCCGAGTCCGCGGCGCCGCCATCGTTAGGACAGAATCTTCTCGCTTGGACCCCGCCGGTCACCACACAGCTGCGAGCGCTCATGGGCCGCGCCGTTCGCGACGTCGCTCGCGACCCCTACCTGGCTACACTGCACCTCGTGCTGACGCCCTTGGTTGGACTGCTCGTGGGGTCACTGTTCGGCGACTTGAGGCATGACAATGACCAGACCGCGGGGATACAGGTGGGTGACGACTCGCTCCGACGACTCTGGTCGTCATGGGGCTATCTGGAAGGGTGCTGGATATATATTTTTGCAAGATTTTTCTTTGCGCGATGCGCTGGGCTCTTCAAGTTAAAAAACACACACGCCAGCTTATGTTGTGAGCTTGGGAAAACGTCATCACAGCTGGCAGCCAGCGGTGGGTTGGTCCTGCTGCCTGTTTTCGTATCCAGCTTGCATGATCACCCCCTGATGACACTGCTGTGCTCGTATGAGCCCACTCCGGAGGGATCACTTGTACTGTAAGGGAGATATTTTGGTTGCGTTGGCTCGATCGGGGCGTGGCGTGTGTGTCCCGGCGAGTGTTGAGCATCTGCCGCGAAGGTGTATTTGTTGTCGATTGGACTTCGCTTGCGGGTGGACCTATTCGTTGTCGACCTATCTATCTCTCTCCGCCCTTCCCCCGCCCTTCCCCCCCCCCGCTTGTCTCTCCCTCCCTAACCTAAACCCTCCTCACGTGCGACCACAGGGCCGCCTGGGAGTGGTCTTCTTCCTCCTCCTCCTCCTCTCCTTCCTCTGCCTCACTTCCCTGGCCTCCTGGGTCCGCCAGATGTCGCTCTTCCGGCACGAGCGCGAGTCCGGCGCCTACGGCGCCCTTGCCCACCTCGCCACCTCCTTCCTCGCCGACGCTCTCGTCTGCCGCGTCCTTCCCCCGGTCCTCCTGGCGGCCACAGTACGCCCCCTCGCCGGCCTTCGCTACGGCAGCCTGCCGGGCCTCTGCGCCGGGCTGGTCGTGTTCAACGTCGCGGTGGCGGCGGTGCTGGCGGCGTGCGGAGCGGGAGCGAGGTCGCCGCAGGAGGCGTTGGCGATGGGGTGCCTGTTCGTGCTGTTCTCGGCGCTGTTGTCGGGGTTTCTGGTGGCGAGGGATGACCTGCCCGGGGTCTGGGGGGGGCTGCTGTGGGCCTCGCCCATCGCCCACGGCTTCGAAGCATTGTTGATCAACGAGTTTAGGTAAGAATGTTCCGGAGGGGGGGGGGAAGGGGGATCGGTCGGCCTATATTTATGTATATACATTTTTTTTTCTTGGCCATTTCGCTTTGTTTTCTCACACGAGGACAGAAACGAAATTCATCAAATACAACTTTGTCCACAGATTCTAGAGTCCGACCGGGAATGAAGCTTCATTAGATTAGCAATAATTTCACAAGCGTTGTATGCATGATGACCACGACGCCTGTGTTTATACGATTCCCTGAGCAGCATACGGCGATCGAAATCTCCGTTTGTCTCACCTTGTTGGAATGCTTGGCCTGGCCGGATTGCGGCTGTTAGTGCGGCAGGGGGTGTATGGCACCTGTAACCCTTGGGCGCACATCAAGAGGTTGCGTAGACGCTTGGATTTACAATTGTCCCGATGTCACTGGGACCGTGTGGCGGCTGTTGGTTCGTGTGCCTTGTGTTGTGTTTTTTTGTCCATTCAACCGTGCTGCTGCTGGTTGTCATCATCTGTGCGTGCGTTGTATCGACTGCAACCGAACGATCGCGCAAACGTGTGGTTCAAGTGTGCTGTTGCCTGCACAACTGTGTGTGCTCTTTGAGAACATCGTACTTTTTGTGGACGATGTCAAGCCGAGCTTTATTTTTGCTTTTGCGACGGTTAAGGTAAGTTCAACCTCCATCGGCGTGGACAACGTGGATTTTTTTTTTTGGGTGGGTGTTTTCTTGGGGTGGGCTGGGTTTGGGTTGGCTTGCGTTCACCGAAGGTTAAAGTTTTCTCTCCGCCCACTACCCATGAACGCTGCTTTGCCCTGCGCCGCGTTGCCTTCCTCCTCCTCCTCCTCCTCCTCCTCCTCCTCCCCCCCCCAGCGAGTACGGCGCACTGTTCACGCTGACGACCGTCATCAGCGGAGTGACGGCGTCTGTAGGCCCTCTCACCGGCGACAGCATCCTCAGCTGCTTCGGGTTCGAGAACGGGCGGTTCTCCATGGACATGGGCTTGCTGGCCGCCATCGGGGGCGCGGGGCTGCTGTTGGCCTACGCCTTACTGAAGCGCGCGTGAGGGAGTAGTAGTGAGAGATTCGCCGCATTTTGTGGCTGGCTGGCTCGCTCGCTCGCCAACGTGCTCTTTCTCGTCCGAGAGAGAGTTTTTTTTGTCGGTCTTGTAATGATGGCATGTTTGAAGGTTTATTTGGGAAGGAAACCAGTCCACAGCGTTGCGCGTCGTGGGCCTTGTTGGTATCCGGGCCGTGTGCATCCGTTTGCATGCCCATAGACCGTGCGCGACATTATTGCGTGAAATCGCGACGCCGGTGGATCTGGCTTGTGGGGGGGGTATGTCCAGATGTCTTGTGTGCTTTGTATGCCTAAGAAAAACAGGATAGTTTCCCCTGTTGTGTCTCCTGCTGTGTCTCAGAAAAGTTGCAGGATAGAAGAATCAGCGATGAAGTACAGTGGTTATTACCTTTCTTTGCACTTAAAAAGTACATCTAGTACTTTTTAAGTTATGTTGGTCGCGAGATGTATGAAGTAGTGCGGGCTCACAATTTCGTTTTTTTTTTCGAATGCCATTCGTCAGCCAATTAGCGCGCACACACGTTGTGCTTTTGTAGCACGGTTGGTTGTTAATTTTCAGTCTTGCGTTTGTGTCCCTCTCCTCTTGAGACGCGACAAGCTTTCCCGCATTCCTTCTCTCAACTTACCTACGCCGGGGGAGCAAGCATTGCGCCACAGCGTTCAGTCCTCGTATCAACGCGTTGTTGGTTCGGTATTTAGAGACTCCTGTACTAGGTGATGTCCAACGGTGGCCTGGTTGGGTCTTACTCTTCTGGTCCTAGTCCAAGGGAGATGGGAAAATATTTTTGTAGTTTTGTCCAGGGGGACCGAGTTTTCGTTCTGCGTCAAGCGCTACCGGTTAAGTTGCTTGCTAGGTGGTCGATTGGATTGTGTCGGCGCATGGCAATGTAGCGTTTGAGTTAAGGGCCGAGTGGATTTCCCCTTGGGGAGGTATTCGGGGGGTAAATTAGAGCGTATGATTGGTGTATGTACGATGAGCTTATTAACGTTTTCAGTGCAGAAGGTGGAATATTTGTAGGAGTTTCCCTGGAAGTGAATCGATGTTATGAAGAAGAAACCGTCGTATGATACCCGTGTTCATCTAGTGCGTGTGAATTCCTCGTGAAAACACTCGTGATTAGCTCGGTACCGCAGGTTTATCGAACCGCAGCGGTGTAGGTGACAAACTCAAAACGTGGACTGCTGGCGTAATTTGCTGTTGGCTGACTTGTCTTTCTCAGGCCTCATGCAAGGCATGGGCACCTTGAAGTTCTGCTGTTGGCAGATTACGGGTCCGTCTACAGTGGGGTACAGCAGTGTTGGCCCCGGTGTAGCGATACCAAGTGTCAGGAGGGGGCGTGGTGGTGGTCGCAGTTGTCGGCGTAGCGGCTAGCACTCGCAGTCGGGGTGCCATGCGATTTCGTGGTTGCTATTCGGGGCATGTCGCTGAACCGGGCCCACAATGGTACAGCAGTAGCATGTCTTGTAGTTTTCTTGTGGAAGAAAATACTTAGCAACAAGACTTGTGCGGATGTTCCCGCAGGGACACGTTGTTTTCGGCTATGCATAGGTGGGCGCGCGTGGTCTGCGTGACCGCCATGCCAGCGTCGGCCACATGTAGATACATTTCGACATGGATCGGTTATACATTTGCACGTTTGTCCTTTGCTATTTTGTTGCCCAGTACCTCGCCGCAAGCAAGGTGTGCAGAACTCCCACGGTAGTCTGAGGCCGAGTCTTGCGTCGTGATTATTTCGGAGATTTTTTTTTTGCTCTCGGTCGAGGGGGTGGTCTGCAAGGGAAAAGTTATCTGGATCCAACCAACCTTCTTGTACGGTTCCTCGAGACAGATATTTTTCTTGTTCTCGAGGGGAAAAAAAGGGCCGATTCAAGTCTTTGTGGGTCACAACATGCTTCAGTTCACTGTTTTGGCTCGTGTGCGACCAACAAGACACCGGGTGCCCTCTTTTTGGGTCGCCTCCAGAGGGTATGTGTATAATCGCACGCCAGTGACTGAGGTTTGTTGATGTCGTCGGCCAAAGGCCTCTCTCTGGCGTGCGTTGTGGACTGATGACGCTCGGCGCCACCAGAAAAAGCAAGGCAACGTCCAAAAAAGTCAACATCGCAACACACTTCGGTTCACGTTTACAGGCCGTGTGCAATCAAAACTGGACAATACGCTCTGCTTCTGGGACGCGAGCAGAGCGTATGTGTATGATCACACGCCATTGGCTGTGGTTTGCGGATGTCACCTTTAAGCCTCCCTCCCTCTGGCATGCGTTTTGGACTGGTAGCGGGTGACACGCGGCGGAACAAGAAAGAAGTCCAAAAAGTCAACACCGCCACACACTTGAAAACTACGGTTCACGTTTACACGCCGTGTGCAGTCAAAGCTGGACAAAACGATCTGTTTCTGCGACGCGAGCAGAGGGTATGTATATGATCACACGCCACTGGCTGCAGTTTGTGGACGTCGACGGCGTAAAGCCTCTCTCTGGCGTGCGTTTTGACTGGTCACACATGCAGCAGGCACAACAACGAACGGCTCCTTTCGGCCCGCAGGCAAGAACACGTCAGGAGAGCAATGTGGCTGGGTTGACGTTGTCGGCTCGTGTGCGGCCAACACGACGCAGAACGCCCTGAATTGTAGATGCCTGCAGAGGGTTTGTTCATAAGCTCATGACACTGGCCTCTGTTTGGCCAGCAGACGTTCCTCGTTCTTGCCCCCTAGTTTTGAATCGGGGGGGGGTCACCCCCTGGTCACACCCCGATCGAGGCCTGCGCGTGCTGGGCGCAGAACCGAGCGTTCTTGGAACCGTCGACGCCGAACGTTGGCTTCTTAGCGCAGCCGTCGTGCTGGCATATCTTCCGGTTGATGAGGGTCATACCCTCCTTGCGGTGGAAGTTGCAGGAGTAGGGCCCATCCACGCCCCCGTAGGATGGCTGCTTCGTGCAGCCGTGCTCTCCGCACCGCCTACCCATTTCTTTGTTTGGGTTGTTTTCTCTGCCCTCCGCCTCTGAGTGGTCCGTCTGCGGCAGCTCCTCAGCAGTCTCCGGTCGGGCAGGGCAAGACCGGGGGGGGGCAATGAATTGAAACAAGGCGGCAAACGGGCTCTCACAGCATGGGGAACAATCTGTCTTGGGCTCCTTTATTAGAGATGGATTCGTTGTGTCATACTGAGTATAAAGAAGCTTGAGCCCTCAAGTTTTCTATACAGTCTCGGATTCCGGGCAAAGGCAGTCGAAACGCCTCCTTTCATCTTTGCATGAACATCCCCGCCCACAGGAGGATGGAGCGGCACAGAAGCAAGGACACCGTGAGAGGAGAGAGATAGAGCACGTACAGAGGGGTAGCAGCGCCCACCATGGATAGCTTTCTATCGAACGTGCTAGCCCCGAAGCTCGAGGTAGGCCAAGAGGCTCTGTTCGACGCCCTGAGAGCTCGAGACACCAAGCGCGCAACAAGAATAATCAAGAGGGTTTCGAGAGAGAGCGACCCCCGGCTGGGCGGCGGCAGCACCTCTGGGCAAAGGGCAGCGGAGGTATGTGTGGGATATGTATGCTGCGGCGGTAGGGATATGTTCTGATGAGTGCGTGTGCACGTCGGGAACAGATGGCGGTCAGCTCTGACCAACAACAAACAATAGACACATCGTGTGGGGAAACAAGCAAGAGGAGATCTGTCCGCTGCTCCTCAGAGCCTCGCCGTACACCAGGCTCTGTACACCACCACTACATACGACTACGCTATCATAGTCGATGACTATTCTGTAGTAGTCTCTGTACTGCCGTACCAGGTACTTGTTGCTGTCGCCACTGGATGCGCACTGCTGTGCACGACGCGATTTCTTACTGCTCTTATTCCTCTCGCAAATCTTACCTTCATTTAGACATGTGCATACCATGAAGTATCGGAAATTTGGTATTGTTGTGATTGCGGACCAAGGCAAATATTTAGTCGATGCTTCTTTGTTGTATTGCTGTAGTCTACCCAATCGGCATCAGATGCAGCGGCAACTACATGCATATCTATCGACTGAATGAGGCGAGGGAAGACGCTTTTGGGTCATTTGTGCCGTGCGCGAGCGAGCAGGTTGCATCCAAGGCACCAGAATAGACTGCCTCCTCTTTTCGATCCCATTATCAAGCAGCGAAGACAGCCGAAACCTTGACATGTGTCAATAGCGCGAGAAACACCCGGAGATGCCAAAATTGCAGGAAGCCCTCGTGAAAAATGTGGGCGGGGGGGGCGGGGGGGGTTCTCATGTAAACGCATGCCACAGTCGGTAACCATTACCATTTCGTAGATTTGAGTATGGCACGCTTTCCCTCGTAGTTTTTGCAATACGGTGTTCGAGGTGAAGTGAGATTTGTATCTTACTCAAAGTCCTCCCTTTGCGCGGGTATCATTTTCATCTGATTTGCTTATGGTGTCACTTGTTCAGCTTTCCAGTGTGCATGGTTTGGACGCACCAGCCCGGGGTCACACAGCAGGAGGAGGGCCAGCAGGCAGATTTTATCAATTGGATTTTATGTTGCTTTTTTTCCGCGCTTTTGCTCCTGTGATGGTTGATCGCGAGAAGGGTCTGCTGTGGTCGTGTCGGCGCGTGTAACTTACGTCTCGTTTTCACGCTCTCGGGCCCTTGGTCGAGAGCGTTTCTGCACACATGGCGAGGAGATACCGAAGCTCCTTATCATTGTCGAGTGTGGCGAGGTCAGCGGAAGCTCGCGCGTCAAGCCCATAAAACTCCGTAGCAGCCGCGTAACCCCCGGGACATCCCGGAGATCGATATTCTGCCGAGTACCGCAAGAGACGGAGAGATGGTACCCCCCCCTCGACCGAATTTCAAAGCTCGATTACTCCACGACCAAGATTGTCTGTATCGTACCGTATACCGTACCGTGGTATTCCACGAGATGGCACCCCTCCTAGACTGAAATTCAAAGCTCGTTTACTCCATAACCAGGACCGCCTACGCAGGATTAGGGTTAAGAGTATCTAGGAAAAGAATAGGGAAGGGGCACGCAGACCCTATCCCTATCCCTAACCCTAACCCGAAAGCACGGATTGAATACTTAATCTCATATGTTTGCTCAATCAATTTTGCTGCGTAGACTACTGCACAACCAAGTGGGTGCGGAACGAGCCCGGCATGTCTACGGAAAGCCCTGGGCGAGATGGTTCCCCAACCACCATGTTTTGGTGTTGGCACACGCGCTTCGTTGTGGAGCAATCGAGGTTTGAAAATCGATCAAGAGGTCGTACTCATGGCCGTGCATGCGTAGTCGCTAGGCTATTGAACTCGCATCCCTACAAAGCCGGGGCGGAGCACGCCGGACTTTCACCAGGACCAGGCTCTCGGTCAACGAAGGGGGGGTGCCATCTCTCCCCCCCTCGTACGGGCACCCACACAATAATAGGATTCAGCCGTCCCGTGCACCCCTCGCCCAACTGCTGGTTTGCGCTCTTGCTGCTGCTGCTGCTGCTGCTGTCACGTCTCGTCTCGTCCCGCCGACAGGCAGACCTGAACGCGACCGACCGCCGCGGCCTGCGGCCGATCCACCTCGCGGCCATGAGCGGCATGTCGGAGAGCGTGGCCGCGCTGCTGAACGCCGGCGTGCCGGTGGACACCATGGGCGCGGAGGCCAACACCGCGTTGCACCTGGCGGCGTACCACGGGCAGGAAGGTGTTATCGCCGTGCTGATGCGAGCGGGTGAGTCTTTTTTTTTGTTCATTTACCCCCCCCCTTTCCCCCCCTGGTGTTTGCGATCGGGGTTGGGTTTTCGTCGCTTGGCAACGACGTTGTAAAACAAGCCGCCCCCCCGGTGTTTGCCATCGGGATTGGGTTTTCGTCGCTTGGCAACGACGTTGTAAAACAAGCCAATTCACTTCGTGAACTCGGCAACCAGGTTACCGTTTTTCTTTTTCTACCTCCGTTGTTTTTTTGGCGGTAACCATAATGGTGGTCGAGTAGATCATGTTGTGCGGGGTGGAGAACCCTCGCTCCGCGCAAGGGGGATGATCGCACCACGTTGTGTTAAAATGGTCAAGCACCCTCGAGGCAGTTACACAGTGCTTACAACTGTCTCTGGAAGTGAAAGCACCAGAAAATAAATTAATTCATACGCAGCTGTCATCCGTACGCAAGGAAGTAAGCACAAGATGCCGAACACCCTTAGCAGGATGCAGCGCACCCTTCATGCGACTCGCCGAATATCTCACGGCGCTTCGCGCTTGGTGATGTGAGAGCCTGGTCCGGTGAGAACCCGGCGTGCTCCGTCCCGGCTTTGTAGGGGTGCGAGGTCAATGGTCTAACGACTACGGCATGCACGACTATGAGTACACCCC